CCGAACCTCCAAGTAAGGAGTTGGAACATCTATGTGCCAATCTCGCGCCTGGCACTGGCCGGAAGACGCGGTAGTGTGCCTCGCATAGTGGGTTTGGGGTACTTGTAGGGTTGAGGTTTAGCGTTCCTTGGGATGGGGGCCGTCTATGTTCAAAAAAACGATGAGGTGATGATGCTAGAAGCCACTCGGGCTCCTACATTATCTCAATTACAGTATGGGCAGTTTTGGTAGTCGAAACTGCAAAAGGTGGGGATGTTCCCCCCTATACTTAAAGTCTTGAGTGAGGATTATACTAGGGGGAACTAGACTAGAAACCCTACTAAGGACTGCTCGTAGAAGGGGGCACAGTGGAGCTGGTTTGTGGGCGGCTTCCTCGACTCCAGGGACGATGAGAGTAAAGGTAAAGGTAAAGGGCACCCCTTATGTGCTGAAGGGGTGCCTTGTGCGGGTACCTAACCCCTGGGGCCCTAAACCCTAAACCCTGAACCCTAAACCCTAAACCCTAAACCCTAAACCTAAACCCTAAACCCTCACCCTGAACCCTAAACCCTAAACCCTAGACCCTGAACCCTGGCCTTTGCAAGAAAAGGGTATAGGGGCCTGAGAGGAAGATGGCAGCGTGAGGACCTGTGTCACGTTTCATACTCCCCCTAGAACCATCATCAAAACGATATTCGAAATACTCCCTTGGGTTGTACATAGACAAAAACCGTTGTACATAGACACAAACCAAACATAATTCCTGCAAGGAAACTATACTGAAAACCTAATTTCCCAAGGGAAACGACAATAAAGCACAACAAGCTGCGGAGCTTTGCTACCCTAAGGGTCCATGTACCTAAACAGGGAAGACTTGGGCCTTAAAGTACTTCCTATGTAGGGACTCTTTGGGCCCAAGTATATCATGATAAGGTACGTGGACCCTTAACCCTTAACCCTTAACCCTTAGCCCTAAACCCTAAACCCTAACCCCTAAACCCTAAACCCTAAACCCTAGGGTAGGGCTTGTGTTGCAAGGCTAAGGGGACCCTTAGGGTTATGTTGAATCAATGATGCAGGCTGCCAACCCGTCGACGGTGGCGACTCCATGGGGCGGAAAGGGTTTAGGGTCTAGGGTGATAGGGTTTAGGGTTTAGGGTTAGGCTTCAGGGTTTAGGGCTTAGGGCTTAGGGTTTAGGGCTTAGGGTTTAGGGTCTCAACCCTAAACCCTGAACCTTTAGGGCCTTAGTCCAGCCACGTGGCCTCTCGTTTTTGGTTGTGCTGAAGGCGGTGGAAGCCGCACCAATGAGCGTCACCCCCTGGCGCGAAGAGCACGGGAACGATAGGGTTTAGGGTATAGGGTATAGGGTTTAGGGTTCAGGGTTTAGGGGTTAGGGTTTAGGGTTGAGGGTTTTTGGTTTAAGGTGTAGGGCAGGGTTTGGGGCTTAGGGTGGCTTTGCATCCGACTTCAAAAGCGTAGCACCTCGGCGACGGGGCTAGTTTCTGCGTTCATCAAACCCAGACTTCTGGGAGATCCAAAAGATCCCTTTAAGGCCACCTAAGAAAGACCTAATGGTAGCAGAATATAGGGGCCTGAATAATTAGAGTAGAGTTTTGGGGGGGGCGATTATAGTATATTTATAAAGGGGCCATAAGGGAATACTATTAGTAATTACTCCGACCCCTATATTACTTACTGTTGTTTAGCAGGGAATAAGGGAATGAGGTACCCTATATCCCCCTATATATACCCTTTAAGGGATTGTATAGGGTACCTCATTTCCTCATTCCCTACTAACCAACAGTAAGATTAGGGCACTCTTTGGCGGCTCTACTTTTTGGATCATCCGAGGGGCCTGCGAGGAGGTGAGGGTGACAACCCCAGTCTCCAAAAATCAATGGGGACACGGCGAGTCAAAGCCCGTAAGGGGCAAGCGCGTGAGGGTTTAGGGTTTGAGCAGGACGCCCAAAAAACATCGAGGCCCCAGGGCACCCACTGGCCAAGACGAAATTCGACGAAGGCCGAGCAAAACCGCCAAAAAAGGGGTTCGACGAAGGGGGCGGGGGTTCGACGAAGGCCGGGAGATTCGATTTCCCTTGCCGGAGTCTGTGTGCCATCCAACCACTGGATTACTTACCTTTAGGGTGTAGGGTTTCAATCGGGCTATTTGAACCCAAGATAAGAACTTAGCCAGCTACAGCTACTTGGAGGTTCATGGCTTGTAAGGTGGGCTATTACTACACTTATCATGTGGGCTACTAGTACCCTGAACCTCCAAGTATACTTGCCCAACGATCGCCCTCCTAGCCCCAGGAGTAACCCAGGAACCTTTTGGTCGAAACCGTAAAAAAAGGAAATAAGGGCCTACTCTGGGTCCTAGTAGCCCTATAAACCCTAAACCGCAGATGAAGCTCCAAACCACCCCGGGCCCCAAGAAAAGATGCGGCTGCCTGGGGCCACGTCTCGATCTGGGGCCTGGGTCAAGGGTTTAGGGGTAGGGGGTTTAAGGTTTAGGGTTTAGGGTTTAGGGCTTAGGGTTTAGGTTTCGGGTTTAGGGTCTCCAGCCTTTCTTGCGTTAGGGATGTAGAGCTGATGGGCAATCATCTGCTAGACCATGGGACTCGCCATACTTTTGAAGCCTCCGTGTATCAACGAAGGGACCATGCTTCTACGAACACTGGATTTTCAAGTTTCGGCCTTCGGGTGTCCGAATTTATGGTTTAGGGTTTAGGGTATCGCGTCTTGGGGAGAGTGAAAGGGGTTTCAACAGGCGTGGCTTTTGGCTTTGCGGCGTTGGGGCTTTAGGGCAGCTACTGGTTTAGGACTTCAACAGGGTTTAGGGTTTAGGGTGTAGGGTTTAGGGTTTCGGGTTTCGGGTTTAGGGTTTCGGGTTTAGCTCCAGGACATGAGCACCACACCTTGGGTGAAGACACCCTGGACTTCGACACCCCAATACCTTACCCCTTGGTTGTAAGTAGGGGATGCGGGAATTAGGGTCCTACATATACCCTTTGAGGGGAGTATATAGGGTACCTCATTCCCTCATTCCCTAGTATAAGGACCGGCCAGATTAGGGGTTTAAAGGGTTTTGGGTCTTTACAGGCCCTTACTTGCGGATACTTCCTCAAAATCAGGCGAGGGGTCCGCAATGGAATGATCTTGAAGCAGAATTAGGATCCAGGTTTAGATCTCACTCAAGCCCTTAAACCCTAAACCCTAAACCCTAAACCCTGAACCCTAAACCCCAAAGCCTAAACCCTAAACCCTAAACCCTAAACCCTACACCCTAGGGATCCTTTTTGAGGTTAGAGGAACGTGCCTTCGTTGCCTTCCGGGGCTTCCACTAATCTATCCTGGAGGACTCAACATAAGGGTTTAGGGTTTAGGGTTTAGGGTTTAGGGTTAAGGGTTTAGGGTTTAGGGTTTAAGGTTTAGGGTTTTTGGTGATTCGAGCTTTGCCCTTGAAGAGCTGAGTGACCAGTTGTCTGGAGTGTAGCTCAATCAGGCAAAAAAGGCTGGAACAGTTATACCTCTGTGTTGCCCTAAACCCTAAACCCTAAACCCTAAACCCTACAACCTAAATTGCTTAGTCGGGTTTAAGGATTCCAGGGGCCTTGCTGTGGAAGCTACAACCGCCCACGTCCCAGGCCCCTACATTCCCTCACCCTAACAACCCCATAAACCCCATGGGCCCTATAAACCCGATAAACTCTATAAACCTTGCAAACAACCCTGGAAGCTGTATAAACTCCATGAACCCTACAAACCCAAATCATGGTGGCGGCCGCTCTGCCAACACGACCGACTTGTCAAGATGTCTGGACCCTCTAAACCTACAACCCCTACAATCTTGCACATCCTATAAACCCTATAAACCCTATAACCCCTAAACCCGACGAAAATCCCAAGGCCGCGAACCGCAAGCACCCCAAGATTCAGTCCGAAGTGGCCTTGTCAGAGTGGTGCCAGTTCCCGCGCGGACCACGCGCACAGGGCTGCGGCTCTGCCGGCCCTTGCAGCAGGAGTTCAAGCACATCCGAAAACCTATACTCTTTTGAACACCCTACACACGTTGGTGCAGCTGGGGCGTTTGCTTCTGTGACCGGTAGGCACTGGGATGAGTGGCTTGACTCGGTGTGACCATTTTTTATGTATATATAGATATAGATACATATACACAGAAGCGGAGGCTGTGGGGCCTGCGTTTTGGCATGTGGAAGTACATCGATAACCCCATATCTGCTCTAGCAGAATCAGAGGACACCCGCGAGCCTCCAGAGACGTCACAACGAGGCACCTGATTCTCTAGGCTTCGTAGGGTTTCTAGAGTTTGTATAGGGTTTGTAGGGTTTACAGTATAGGGTTCACAGCATTTTCAGGGCTTGCAGGGGGAAAAGGTTTTTTTCGGGTGTAGAGATGTGAACATCACATCTGCTCGCCCTGATGCCGCGCACATACAGATCGCGGAGAAAAGGTCGAGGACCGACACCCGCATCCAAGTAATATAGGGGCCTGAATAATGGTTTAGAGTTTAGGGTTGAGGGTTTAGGGTTTAGGGTTCGAATAGGATTTTGGGGGTTAGTATAGTATATATAATAGTTTAGGGTTAGAATAGGATTTTGGGGGTTAGTATAGTATATATAATAGTATATATACAAAGGGACCCTAAGGGAATGCAAGTAGTCATCATTCCGACCCCTGTGATTCTCGCTGCCCGTCAAGACACGCGAAAAGATTCTGGGGGCATCGCGCTCACGAAACTGCTTCATCGCTCTCTTGATACGCAGAGACGTCGCTTGGGTGAGAAATCTGGTTTTGCTGGAAGCACGCAGTCGGAGCATCGCCGCATGGGATTTTGCCTCGCGACATAATACCTTTTGCTCTTATGAAAAGAAGTAGCCTAAGGCTAACCCTAAGGATCCGGCAAGTCATAATTTGAGATAAAGACTTTGCCATAAAATTTGAACTTTGCCTTTTGCCGTGCAAGTTAAAATTACAAGGTAATGATTTTAACTCTACCTTAAGCTGCGATGCTCATGTTTGGCTCATCCAATAGCCGCTTCATCTTGTCCTGCGACGGCTCCGGTGTCCTCGGTGCAGGCGAGCCAGGAGCGTCATGGCCCATGTTCCGAGCTCTTTCGCTCTCCATGCAGATGGCAATCATCTCGGCTTGCGTAGCCGAGCCGGCCGTAGTCAAGAGCTCCGCTGCTGTCACTGTTCTTTCTGCTTCGTCTGAGCTCGGATCCAGCTGCGTGGCGGCTGGATCCGGTTGCGTCGCGGCCAGGTCTGTGTCCATAGCTGCAACTCCTAGCCCTTCTAGACTTCGTGGCTGCATGAAGGAGGAGAGTCTAGCAGCAGCTGAAAGCTCAGCTCGCTTTTCCAAGTACTGAAAACAAACTCTCGAGATGCATGCAGCGACGGCAGCGTGGACATCACAAGAACTTCTCGGCTTCGCTGTATATGTACGTATATATATATATATACATATGGTAGAAAAGTCGCTCGGGTGAGATAGCGGCACTTCGACGGTCGATCAAGTGCGACTTCGCTTTGCGACGCACACGGTAGGAAACCCAAAGGATCCATGCACCTATATAGGGTTTAGGGTTTAGGGTGTAGGGCACTTAGGGTCTAATGCTACTCTGTAGGAACCCCTTTAAGCCCAAGCATATAGCTTCCTTAGGGAGAGGATTGTCATCAAAGAGCTCTCTCGGCACTTGCCCTAAACCCCACACCGTAACCCTTAACCCCCAAAACCCTAAGCCCTTAGACCCGGTAACCCCTAAACCCTAAACCCATATTGAAGTAGGGTATATATTTCTTGTATCCCCAAAAGGACACCACATATATACACTCACCAATATTGGAAAGGAACCTTATGTACACTCACCAAGAACAGTAAGATAAACCCTGCTTCATAGAGTATACACTTAGGCCCTAATGCTACTCTACAGGAACCCCCTTAAGGCCCAAGCATATACTATATAGCCACCTGGATCCTTAGGGAAAGGGTTATAAACCCTGCTTCATATCAGCTCTCTGACGTTTGCTCAGCCGCACACGGGGCTGGGCGCACCTGGGGAGGGGAGACATGGCAGGTGCAGTCAGTGCCAATGCAAGCAGCGGGGGGGCTGGTTCGGTTTGGGTTTAGGGCTCCGGATGTAGTGTTTAGGGTTTAGGGTTTACTAAACCCTACACCCTAAACCCTAAGCCCCAAGCCTACTAGGGATGTTTAGGGTTTAGGGTTCAGGGCTTCGGGTTTGGGTGAGGGTTTTTGGAGGAAGCCTTGCCATGACTGGCGCCAACATTGCAGCACGCACCTTGCTCTCTACGAATTTGCTTAAGAACCCCCCCCCCCCAAAAAAAAAAAAAAAAAATATTAATAAATAATAATCATAATCCTTCTTTCTCAGGGCCACAGAGGGATTTTCACATATATATATATATATAATTGCTTCTTTTTTTTTTTTTGGGGGGGGGGGGGGGGGGGGGCGGGGTTCTCAAGCAAAATGTCGTTCTGCAGGCTTCTTAGGCGATAGGATTAGGGTCACCCTTGGGGATGTAGACACTCCGAATAAGGTTCCTGTTTAAGAGAGCCAGAAGAGGGTTGGGAAGGGTTCCCCTTTAAGGGTCCCCCGAATGTTACCTAGGAGTTCCGTAGGCTCTGGGAACGCGACCGAGACATCCGAGACTGTTCGGACTTCTCGCACCGACACGGCTGGCTGGGCGTACCTTGACAGGACAAGGCAGGGTTTAGGGTTTAGGGTTTAGGGTTTAGGGTTTAGGGTTTAGGGTTTAGGGTTTAGGGTTTAGGGTTTAGGGTTTAGGGTTTAGGGTTTAGGGTTTAGGGTTCAGGGCTACTAGACCCAGGAGTAACCGCGGCTTGGGGTTTATAAGGGTTTCTGGGTTATGGGGTTCGAGGGGTAATGAGCTATAGGGCCTTCTAGGGTCATCAGGTTACGGGTTCCAGGGCTAAGGGTTTATAGGGTCATCTAGACCGAGGAGTAACCTAGGAATAACAAGGGTGCCCTTTTTGGCTTTTAAGGGGACGAGAAGGGAACCCCAACCCTAAAAAGAAGATATATGGGCCTACTCCGGGTCCTGGTCCTGGCGGCTTGGGGTTTACACTTGCGGCTTGCACTCAGCAGAAGTTGTCCGCACTGCACGCGCAAATCCGGCTGAGTTTAACCCTACACCCACTTGTAGCTCCACATGGTCCACATGTCGCTCTCTGTCACTCTGGGTACTCGAACCCCCAAAATCCCCAAACCCTGAAACATGCCAGCTATTCTATTCTCAATCCTACGGCCCTGCAAGTTAAGCCCCTCCAAAACACCTTGGACCATGCAGCACACTGCAGGACAGCTCAGGATATCGCACGCTCGGCGCTGATATCGCCCGGGATGCCACAGATGGCACCTAGCAGGATGCCGTGAGATTAGGGCTTAGGGTGTTTGGGGAGTTTTCAGGGTTCGTGCGCGCAGGGGTGAGGGTCAAAGGGTTTTAGGGCTACTGGGCTGAATTCGTGGCTCGGAGTGTAGCGGACGAGTCTAGGGCAGTCTATGAGGGACAGCAGTGGAAGTGTGTAGGATCCTGTCCCACATCGCCCGGCGCCAGAAACTTGTTGATCAGCTTCGTCTTGTGCCGCGGGGAGGCCAGTGCATGGAACTCACCCTAAGGGTCCACGTATGCAGTATATACTTGGGGGGTAAAGGGGTCCCATATAGTAGCGTTAGGGCCCGAAATATGCCATATAGGTACATGGACCCTTAGGGTTAGTCTCCAGGGCAAGTGACTCTCCCACTCTCCCCCGGTCGGGAGGATGCGAGATCGCACGATGTGTGCTGGATGCTAACTCACTTGCTCAGAGTGGTGACCTCAAAGTTTAGGGTTTAGGGTTCAGGGTTTAGGGATACTTGTTGCAAGTGACCCTAAACCCTAAACCCTACACCCTCAACCAGCATACACCTTGCTCAGAAATGTGGAAAAACTGGAGATGGTCCCTGCCTGTAGTAGCATTGGTCAACCTCCGTCCAAGTCTTCGAAAGTCTCCAAGAGCGAAGTCAAACGCGTAAAGGGACTGCATACCATGTGGTGCCAGCGACGATGTCCAAACCAGTGGTAGCCAGGAACCATTCACGTGCATGGTTGAATTTCAGCCTGCCTGCACGATTTTGCACAGGGTTTGCTTATGAGACAATTCTCTGGGCAAACATCTACCTGTGCTGTATGATCCCATCCCTGAACCCTAAACCCTAAATCCTAATCGTTAAGCAGCAGAGCCATGACGTAGCCGTAGCCTACAGCTCCGTGGATTCGTCCACGGCTTCAAGTTGCAGGGATACAGTTGTGGCTGACACCCAAAAAACAACGTCACAACTCGGTACGAGGGTTTATAGGGCTTAGGGTTCCGAATGCATCAAATGAAGCACCACCTATCTATTCCTTCATTGTAGATCTAGGCGTGGGTACTTGGAAGGTCATGGGTACTCATGAGTAGGGTCACGAGTATGGTAACTATATTATGGCTATAACCTTATTTAGGGTACAAATAGCCCTGCTTAAAATTACTCCGCTAAACCCGAAACCCTAAACCGAATGCCAGAGAATTGCCATATAAACGAATAAACCTCTGGATTCCCATTCTATCCACAGGCTTTGCTCTGGACCTGGGTAATCCGGAGGTTCTGGACAACTAATTCTGCATGTATTCGCGATCCACAACAGGAATTTCCTAGTTTACTAGGTCAGAAGGGCTTCCAAGCAAACCATAGAGCCCGAAACCGTAAAGCCCTCAAGCCTCCCAACCCTGCCCTTGCCTGCGGTCGGAACCCTGTGTTGTAACAATTCAATGGACTGCATGTGCTGACAAAGATTGGATCAAATCAGCCTCGGTTGCAGTGGAACGCCAGCCCTAAACCCTAAACCCTAAACCCCAAACCCCTACCCCCTAAACCCCTAAAAACCCCCAAACCCCTAAACCCTAAACCCCACACCGCGAGTTCGACGAAAGTACCTTGCGCGGGACTCATGCCGCTCACACCGTGAAGAAGCGGCGCGGAGGATGGACCATACCAACCTTGAAGAAAATGCTGGGACGACTCATACCCTAAGGCTCCAAAATAGCCCAAAGTAGGTATCATTTATAGACTTTAGACCGCAATGTAGGTACTATTTTGTATACTTGGAGCCCTAGAAATATCAATACAATAGTATACCAATACATAATCCTAGCATACTGCTATGTAAACTACAATACTATGGTAGCATCTAGTCCATGAAGATGAAGCACATAGATATATCAAGATAATTCTAACTAGTGCCATTAGATCTGCCAACTAGAAGTGGCACAGTTTATAGTTCCGCTTGAGAGATGGAGCACATGCTTGGAGGTCGGCATAAGGCTTTTTTTTGGGTGGACTCTGGAAAGCTGCGTTTCATATGGCGAAAGAGCCTGAAATTTCACAGTCGGACTTGTAGGACTTGAAGAATCGGATTCAGTAAAATTGACCCAAAAGTCGACGCAGGGCTGCAGCTTGAGGGAAGGACGGGTTGCATCCAGATAGCTCACCTTTCCCAAAATTTAGGTTTTGGGGTTTGGGGTTTATCGGGCTTCATCGGAGCCTATCCCACCCAAGAGCAATCTGCCTACGTGTCAATTCTGGGGCAGGCTGGCCTCAAAAGAACGCATGTGTGCAGCTCTCTCCTCTTCGTACGGCACCTTCTGCATGGGACCGTCCAAATCCAAACCCCTGGGAGGCTCCAAAAAGTAGAAACCCCCAAATACTACCCTGCACTACTCTTGGGTCATTTTTAGGAACCCTTAAGGGGAACCTACTTTTTGAATCCCCCCAGAAATCTGGGAAAGGGACCCTAATTTCCTGAACTACCCATGTACTGCTGACTCAAAAACTGGTTCAGGGTCTAGATGGGATGGCCTTGAAACTCATACTCCCTCTGGCCAGTTTAGGGTGTCACAGTAGGTAGGGTTTCGGGTTACCGCAGGTACTACTTATCACGTCTGTATACTTGGATTTAGGGTTAGGGCTTGGGGTTTAGGCCTTATCTGAAGGATTGTTGACCCTAAACCCGAAACCCGAAACCCTAAACCCTATAAACTATAAACCCTAAACCCGAAACCCGAAACCCTAAACCCTAAACCCTGACCCCAAGTTCGACGCCCAGGAGCCAGTCGCTCGCAAGGCGTGTGCGTGCCAGCGAGTGCTCCGCAATTAATGACCTGGTCTTCTTGGAGGTTCAGGGCACTTCTGGTTTAGGGTTTAGGGTTGAGGGTTTAGGGTTTAGGGTTTAGGGTTTAGGGTTGAACCCACTTATATACCAGCACTTCCAACCCCACTTTTATAGGCCCCCTTGAAGTACCCTAATAGGGTTAACATAATTGGGGTTATCAATGCACTTCTCATTGGGTTACTCAGTACCCTAACCCTAAACCCTAAACCCTAAACCCTAAACCCTAAACCCTAAACCCTAAACCCTAAACCCTGGACGAACGGGGCATGGCATGCAGGGGTTTCGGGGTTTGGGGGGGCCAGGTTTGATGGTTTTTGGGGGGGCTTTGGGACCCTGCACCTGTTGGGACTCCATAGGCGACACACCCTAAACCCTAATCCCTAAACCCTAAACCCTAAACCCTCTTGGGTCTTCCACGCTCTGAGTTGGGGACCGCAGCTGCTGTAGCCGAAGCAAAGAGCTGCACGGCCGCAGCCAACCTCTGGGGACCTAACGAACCCTAAAGTTGGGGGGTCACATACCCCTATGATAACTCCTATGATGAAGGCTACATGAACCCTAGCCCTAAACCCTAAACCCTAAACCCTAAACCCTAAACCCTAAAGCCTAAAGCCTAAACCCTAAACCCTAAACCCTAAACCCTAAACCCTAAACCCTAAACCGAACCCTAAACCCTAAACCCTTCTCGGGTACGTTTGGTCCCCAAGGGACCTTGTCTGATCTTGGCCGCACTGGTACAGGTTCTGGAACCTTAAAGGATCGAGGCAGGGGGCTTTGGCATGATGCAAGGATCTAGGCTTAGGGTGTAGGGTGTAGGGTGTAGGGTTTAGGGTTCAGGGTTTAGGGTTTAGGGTTTGGGGTTTAGGGTTTTTCGGTTTAGGGCTTAGGGTTTAGGGTTTGGGGAAACCGACTTCGCCCATGTCATTGATTTTTGCTGAGCAAGGTTTATAATGGCCATCCCTTGTTCAGCAGAACCCTGCTGAACGCCTGGCTCCATGCCAGGCCTATTGCCACCTTGCCATCCCAGGAACATGTAGAAGGGACACTCGTAGTGATTTCGCGCAGCATTCTCAGCGAAATAGCCCAAGGAAGCAATCCTTGGTTAGGGCTTTTGGGGTGTTCGAGCGCTGCATCTCGACATGTGCTTCAAGGGAACTGGCCTAGAAAAAACGAAAGCCAGGTGGAGCTGGCACCAGAGACGACCTACCAAGGCCAGTCAGCAACCAAGCTTCTCAAGCTTACAAGCCCTTCGCCCTCAACATCTCTGAATGCAAAAAAACTGAAACTTAAAGCCTACTGTACTTTATCCCCCCCTAAATAACCCCCCCCCCCCCCTCCCCCCCAAAAAAAAAGAGGAAAACCCACACCGTGATTCCCTGCAGTCCCCGCGGCGCGAAGGTGACCATCGATGAGCACACGGCGGGAAGGTGCGGGTCGTCGTCGCAAGCCTCGACAGCCTCTGCAGCGAACCTTGAAGCTGGGTTGGGAGGTTCACGGGCTTAGGGTTTAGGGCTTAGGGTTTAGGGTTTACGGTTTAGGGTTTAGGGTTTAGGGTTTGGGGTTTGGGGTTTGGGGTTTGGGGTTTGGGGTTTGGGGTTTGGGGTTTGGGGTTTGGGGTTTGGGGGTTCAGGGGCTTAGGGTTTAGTAGTCTCAGATTCTATAGGGTTTTTGGGCCCTAAACTCTGATCCCTAAACCCTAAAACCTTTGCACGCATGAAAGGGGCTCCGAGTCTCCAGGGTTCAGGATCTATATATAGGGTTTGGGGCTTAGGGTTTAAGATGGCTATGTATTCCAAGATGCGTCAAAGCCGAGCCGATCAACTTGGTGATGGAGCCTCCGGGAATGCAAAGAATCCGAGTTTAGGCTTTAGGGTTTCAGGGGTCAGGGTTTAGGGTTTGGGGTTTAGGGTTTAGGGTTGAAGCCTTATAAGCCCTAAACCCTAAGCCGGCCAGGGCGTTGTGGACCCTGAACCCAGGAACCATCACACTGAACCTTCTGAACCCTCGCAGCACCAAACCCCCTGAAGTTTAGGGGTTTAGGGGTTTAGGGTTTAGGGCTAGGGTTTAGGGCTTAGGGTTTAGGGTTTAGGGCTAGGGTTTAGGGTTTAGGGTTTAGGGTTTAGGGTTTAGGGTTAGGTCTAGACTCTGCAAATCCGCAATCTCATGGAAACCGGTTGGAATGTTCCCGCCCATTTACTAACAGTCCTTAGTAGGGATTCGAATAGGGGGGGGGGGGGGGGGGGGGGGCGTACTATAATCCCTATTAAGGACTGTTAGTATAGGGGGGAACGTCCCAACCGGGAAGTCCGAAACCCTTTCAACAGATCCAGGATACTTCCGGGAACGGCGCAGGAACAAACAAAAACAAAGCGAAGCGCCTGCAAGGTATGATAATGATAAGATAGAAGTTCCAGGAGCCCGACCGACACCCTTCTGTAACTTAAGCCTTGAACGAACCATGCAAACCACAAAGCCCGAAAGCCTAAACTTCACCTTGAAAGCCGAATGAGGGCTGAATCTGCAGAAGTATGTTTGAGCCCTGACATACACCACACATCCTGCGATCCTACCTTGGCGGTTGGGTTCGAGCCTGGGGCTTTGGGCTTGTAGGGTTTAGGGTTTCGGGTTTAGGGATTAGAGTTTCGAGTTTCGGGTTTATGGTTTCGGGAACAACTGAGACCGTGAACCCTGGGACGGTAAACCTGGAGCAGCCCTCTAGGCCTCGGTCGTTGTGCGAATAGATACCGGTCGCAGGCTAGTTGGGGGCTTCACGGGTATACTGAAATAGGCGTCTTTTGGGATGGGGGTGGGGGAAAAATATGTAAAAGGGGGTTTCACAGGCTAAGGCTTCAGGGTTATATCGCTACCCACTTGCCCCCCAGCTCTGCTTTTTCTTGACCCTGCCCCCTTATTTAGTTCTATGTTCTTTCGCTACCTGTTGCATTTCCTAAGCCCAGTTTCCCCGTATTTCCCGCCGAATTTTTAGCCCCAACTTTTTACCATCCCCTCATTCGTTTTCTCTCGTTTCCCGCCTTATCCATTATCCATAGGGGATTCTAAGGACAAGCTACCTCATTCATTCCGCAAAACCTACAAATAACAACACCCCTAAAATTTAATCTATCCACCTTATGCGTTCCTATATTCTTAAAGTCCTTCCCATATGCTTGTTTGAATGTTTGTTGTTGTTATGATTTATAGCAACAATAAACCTAATTTCTTCCCCATATCTCCCCCTTCTTCGTTTCAGTCTTTTCCCAACTTCTCAAGCTTCTGGGGCTTCCCGTGTTATAGTTAGTCCTTTTGTTGTAAGTTTTATGAAATACAGCAACCCATAGATTTTTTAATTAAGAGCCTCCTGATTGAACACTTGAACGCCTTGAACTCGTTCTGCTTCTTATATACTCAATGGTTTCTTGACTTCTACGAGAACTAACAACGCTTTGAGGCGGCGATGGTTCATCAACATATTCAATAGTCCTATCACTCCGCACAGAACTTTGAACTGTTTCAGGTGGAGATGAATGAATGTATTCGCTTAATGCTTCTTCTTCAACGGGCAATAATGCACTTCTGTTCGAACTTCTACGAGAACTTGATGATTCCGATGAAGGCTCATAAGATTTTTTAACATTCATAGGCAAACTGTTATCACTCTCTTCGCTCTTTTGTTGTTCAAAAGGTGTTTCACGATCTAAATCATCTTCCTCAATTTGTTGCCTTCTGTTTCGCATTTCTTCTCTTTCTTCTTTGAACTCATCATCTCCAAACATGACATCATAAACTCTTCGCATTACTGACTTTTTCTGTGGTTGTTCGCGTTCTCTTTCCCCGTCGCGTTCCTTTTCACTTATCTTTACGCTCTCTTCGCTTTCAATCTCGGGTTCTTCTTTAACTTCTTCTTCTGGTGTTCTCATACTTTCGCTTTCTGTTATGCTTGGCGTTTCATTGAATACATCTGTTTGCGTTCCCTTCTCTGGGTTCTCATTTAATAATATTGTCTTCCTATCATATTTCCCTAAATCAAAATCATCAAAATCGACCTCATCTAATAATATCCCTTGTTGTGTTCTTCTTTGTCGTTCTGGTAATATTCTTAATCTGCTTGTTCTCGCTTCTCGTTCAATTTGTTCAAAAGTCGGGCGTAACCGTAACATATAATATAAAATAAGATAGATTTTGTTAATTTATTTTAGATAAATTAAGAAATTCTTCAATTTGAAAAATTGAGCAATTTGTTTTATATGCTCAAACTGGTAAAAAAGATTTTGCTATTGCTGTTGCTCCTGCTTTTGCTAATGTTTCTACTCCTGCTTTTGCTCCACTCACTAATATGTCTTTTGCTGTGCTTGATGAACTTGTTGAAGGTTGTATTTCTGTTGTTGGGGTTTGTTTGCCTCTAATTCTTTTTGATACTTTGCTTAGTCTAACTCCTCTCGCATCTCTTGAAGGTGGCACACTTTCTAACGGTGGCATTTCATCGTCATCATCTTCTTCTAATTCATCTTCTAAAATTACGCCGTCCGGTATTTCTTGGTCGCCCACTTCTCTTAATTCACTACTTGCTTCATTGGCTGTTGATGATGACGTATTCCTAATAAATTGGTTGTGTCGTTCTAATTCGGCTCGTATTGCGTCAATCTGTTCTATGGCTAAACTTGGCACTTCACTTTCCGAAGGCGTTGAACCTAAATCTAAAAATGGTGTTGTTGCACCACTTGGCATTGATGAACTTACTGATGTCTGGGCGTTTAGCATTCCTACCGATGTCCCTCTTGCTATTGCCGTTTGTCTCAGTTGTGTTTGTCTCATTTCTTCTTTTAATTTGTCTTCTTCTTGTTTCTTCAACCCCAAAAAATCAACATTATCTAATTGACTACCGAACTGATTATTTCTAAATAATGTTGCTCTTCTGTCAATTATTTTCTCTATTGGTGGTCTGTTAGGGTCGCCTTGGCTTTCAATCATACCGACTAACTCATCATACGTCGGACGTAATTTTAATTCAGATTTTAACGTTTTAATCATTAATATTATTATTTTAGATTTAAATTATTTCTTTCATTATAGTTTTTAATTCATCTTGGCGTTTCATCAGTTCCTCTTTCGTTCTTACTGGCATTGATGGTCTCTCTAATTGTCTATTGATATCATCTAACTGGCCTTGATATAGCGATTGCTTCTGATGTTTTATCCAATCGTTCCTTAACGCTACGTTCTTAGCTCTGTTTTCCGCTTCTTCTATTCTTAACTTCATGTCTTCGAGTTCTTTCTTCCGACTTGCTACTCCGATTGATTCTTCTAAATCATAGTATTGTTCTACCATAGGCATACGTCTCATCTCTGGTTTGCTCTTAAAAATGCTCATATTATATTCAATAGTAGATAATAATTATTAAATATAATTTAAAACATGCTTGTTTTAAACCTTGCTATTTTCTCGGCTTTCTCTTGTTGCTTCAATTTCTTCATTTCGTTGTATGACTGTTGTAATAGCTCGCTTGCTGTTAATTGTCGCTCTGGCTGTTTCATTACGACGGGTTGTTTTGGTATTGCTTTAGTTTTGACGCTCGGCTGAGCCTCGCGTGCATTCGCGACTTCAATTTCTTCGCTATGTTGCATTATTTCGTTTTCTTTGTTTTGATATTTGCTTTTCATTTCTTCCTCTATTTCTTTTCTCATCTGTTCCTTCAGTTTAGACCCATACGAGTTTTTCTGTTTATTAACGGGCAATGTTTCCGAAGGCTGACCTTTACAATTTCTCGGATGTGAATGTTTTAAGCTCTTGGGTAACATCTTTTTATCACAGTCGGGACAATTTACCATCTCTACGACCTTTACTGTTCTCGGTAGTTTTTTCGCCGTTGCTTTTGGTTTCGGTTTCTCTTCCGCTTCTTCTTGCTTTGCTTCCTCTTGTTTAATTTCTTGTGGTTCGGTCGCTTCTTCAATAATATTTTCAACCACCTTTTCATTTGCTTCTTCATTTTGACTTTCTTGAACTTCATTATTAATCGTTTCCATATATTCTATATAGAAATTTTATATGTTATTTTAACCTTTAAAAAATGTTATCGTGAATGAAACATCCACCTCGTTTAAATTAATATTTTGGTTAAGATGGTCAGTAAGACGAAAATTTAATCTTCTTAATAATTTGTTAGAGACGTCAATATAATCAACAACGCTCAACTCGGAATCATTAATGACCCCTAAGTAAGGAACATTAACGGGAATCTTTTTAATAATACTTGAGTTACCCGCTACTGTTAATTGGTTATAGTTGCTAATTTCATTACAATGCAAATAAACATTTTTAACAGGTGTTAAATCAATAAAATTAGTTGTATAAGGTGCTACATTAGTATAAGCGTCGGTTGCTGGGGTTGTGTTGCCAATCACGCGGTTTAAAGAATATAAGTTATTAACATCAACAGGGTCACTAAACAAATTTGCCACTGGCGCAACTTCCCCATCAGTGAGAAGAACAAAAATAACTGTTGCATAATTAGAACTGATTGTAAATTTGTTAGTTGATGTGTTGTAACTTAAAGAATATGTGTTAGGTCTGTCGTTTGTATCCACTAATAGATTAATCGCTATTTGTATGGTTTGTGCTAAATCTACCGCTGTATAGTTACCTTCGGGAATTGTTACTTTACGGTAAGTAATACCCGCTATAACACCAGGGGGTATAACTTGATGTCTCCAATAAATATTGTTATTTGTGCTGTTTATTGAATACCAAGAATGAGGAATGCTTACCTCATGTATTTGACATAACATATTATCTTCTAATTGGACAGTTTCAGGTAAGTCAATAACAAATTCGGACGAA